GACTTTTTTCACTTTGATGTTCCTTCCCCTCTGTGAAGCCTGAAGTCAACTAAGGGCTAATGATAAATATCATATAGCCTGCCATTTGATATAAATAAATAAATAGCTTCATCAATGCCACATTATCATTTCGGTCAAAGATAGGAAATACGATGAGAGGGCTTGTATATTTTAAATAAAAGTTAAGTGAATGTGTACCTTCTACTAAGAAAGAGCATAACTCTTAGAAATTAGCTGCTAACACGAATATTCATTAAATGAAATTAGTCAAAAAGAAAAATATGTTGAAATAAATGTAACCACGCTCACACTCACGAACACGTTTCGTATTTTATCAGTGGTCATAATTTATTGTGAGTGCTAATGTCAGATAAAGTGACAGTGTCACTTTACACTGATTCCGGGCTTCCACACTGCGACTCTTTAGTATTCTAAGTATTTTCTTTTCCCAATAGATCGAATTTCGATTTATTGAGTTTTTGCCGTACTCTAGGGCATCACAGATTTCCGGGGACTTTTAAAAGTGATTTTAAATTATCAACGATGTCATCGTTCTAAATTTAACTTAAAATTTCACAAACACAAGAACACAAGGAGAATTTGTCAATCAAACTATGTGGAAGGTATTATGTAGGCTAGAAAAAGGAACGGCAGCTAGATAATGACCGTTTAGCGTTTTTGCTTGCGATCAACTAGTCAATAGCACAATCGCTTGGTTTAGTTTTAGTAAGATCATTTATAAAAGGTTGCGCCCATAACGATTCATATATTTCCTCCCTCTCCCCTACATAATGTCGTCCATTTTTCCCAGTAGCTTTACTAAATTCTGCTATTATGATTTTCTAAGGTTTAACACTTCCTATTTTTGTGAAAATCATTTGAACAAATTTTGAGGTGTAACCAAGCTCTCAGGACCATTCCTCTATCGTCTCCGAAAAAAATTCTTGCACTTCAGGTCCGTCTAAAATTCTGATTCCAAATTTGTTCGAATTTTCCTCCCATCAGTAATCATTTTAAAAGAAAAGTTAGAAATTCAATTTCTTATCAAATAAGTGAAACAACCTACCCCCACCCCACCCTTTTCATAAAGTAAAAATGATTCGAATTTACAGTTCAAAATGATAATAAAGTAAGACATGGATTTTTCAAATAATTCCCTTTTTCCTATCGGTTATTCTTCGATTATGTGAGCTTTCATCTTCTAAATGTAGTAAGCACATTATGAAATCGATGTTCATTTTTAATTTAATTGTCAATTGTCGAGAAGACTGCACACTAGAAAAGTTAAAAAAAAACATGTAAGTAAAAATACATTTGAAATAGATGTTAATCTTAAAAAACATCAGTATTGAAAAGAATTCTGATAATTAAATATTACTTCTTATTTTAAAAGTAACACTGTGGAAATTAATTTGTCATTGCCTATTTAAATTCAAAATAAATGAATAAAAGTCGAAAACAGGAGACATTGAGATAGAAACGGTTTGTAATTATTCCCCAGGACAAAAAATAATTATAAAATAAACTGGAAAAATCTTAGATTTCAAGTGACTAAAGCAGAACTTCATTTTTGACAATTGACGAGAGCGGTGACTTATTTTAATATGTATATTTATATATAGAAATTTAAGTTGATCATTTAACTTAATGTTATTAGTTGTTTCTGCGCTGTTATTAATTGTATATGTAAATGTCGATTCGCTTATTTGGATTTCATGACATAGTTGTTGAAATTGACGATTATTTCCAATCGGTTATACTCCCCCTTCAATCCTCACTTGTACCAAAGTATACGCCACCACTTTGACTACCACCAACACCAAAATGAAGCAATAAACACGCAAAGGTATCACTAAATGCCGTCTCACACAACTCAGCTTGAAACGTCTATGATCTATCTCTATAAGAATATGACTCCTTATCATCTCTATTTGTGTCAAACCTATCTCACCTTCATCACTTAATTCACATTTGCATATGGAATCGATACCACTGCAAAATGCACTTGGTACATTCAACATAATTACCAACTTTCTTCAGCAATCGCAGTGTTGTGCACTACACAGACTCTAAGCATTCTTTTTGACATTATTTGATCTCCGGTTTTGCATAGGCTATGAAGAGGAATTAGTATCTAACAGCATTGCAATTATGAGCCAACTTGAGTTTCGTTACAACTATTTGGTGAAATTTAGAGAGTGGAAAATTTCTCACTTGTGTTTAACTACCCTTCATTTTCAGGTCTTGATGCATTGCCATGGCAAGAGAGCCTAAATTGTTATAATGCTAACACCGTTCCACGTGAATATATTTGGTTTTTAGGGGACTTTTGAAAATCTCGAATGTGCAATAGACCTTTATTTTGTCGTGATTGCATTTCTGGAAGTGTTATTCAAAGCTGATGTGGTGGCAAAAATTCTATTTCGTTTAAAAACAACGCACGAAACATCAACACAGGCTGTCATCGCATTTAGGTATGCTGACAAAAGTACCGATGTGCCCGTTAGTGATTTAAGAACCTAACCTAGACTCGGAGAGAGCGTAACTGAAACTTCACTACATTTAGAAGTAAACTATGTCACATCGGGGCATTTGGAAGTTTTGATGAGGTTTCTCGGAAACAGAACTGCGAGAAAACTGACTAATGCAAAACGCGAATGGATTTGATATTTGAGATGACGCTTCATCTGTCAAAAATGATGAGCAAACAAAGCGCTCGAGCGTTTCAATCTGAGGACTCGCTCACCAATCAACGTGGGAATGTTTCCATTTCATGATCGTCGAGGGCAATTTCAATCCCGATGGTCTAAGCTAAGGAAAAACTCATCGAGTTGCCTTGAGGACGACCGTTGCCCAGGAGTTATCCAGGAGATAGAAATTAGTGGCCAAAACGCCAGTCCCACAATCGTTTCATTGATCGATATGTCAACACTATTTGTGCATTCAGCCGATCATCTGAACTAATCGAAAGCAAACATCAAGGAAATGCCGACATTATTGCATTCTAGATGGAAGAAAGCCTCAATCTTTCAAGTTCAGGAAATCTCGACTTATCATCAGTGGATCTGACAGATCAGATACCTCCGTCACTAACTGGCATCGATTCCATTGCATCATCCGAAAGATCGGATTTGCCTCATAGCACAAAAAATATTGACCACGAATTTAAATAATGATGAATATTTATAACAGGAATTAACGTGGCCATGATACTACAAAGCCTTTATGTTGTGAGTACTAGCTTTAAATGGAGTAATTTAAAATTGGATGAATTCAGAATAAAGCATGTAGAAGGAAATGAAGAACGCTTTCATTCATCCCCGTCTGCATGGCTGCATTTTTTCATCTAAGAAATACAAGGTGAGGTATTTTCCAAGAATCAAGGTAAACCACCAAATCATTAAGCCTTACCTATTGGGTATTTCAAGTAAGGAAGGGAGGAAAGAAAGAAAATCAAGAATTTGGCTGCAATAAGCAAAATAAATGAGTACGTATGCTGCGACACCTAAGGCTATTAGTCGACAGCATACGTATGCACGAAGATACG